GGTAGTTGTGGGGACGAAATGAGATAATATTTGTAAAGTGTTTTGCAAGCTTTAACATGCTATGTAAATGCTATTAGCTATTACTTCAATGAACCTACATTCTAATGGAGGAGATGAGTACATATAAAATATATATAGTATAGATAAAATTAATAAATACATATATACACACAAAGTAGTTAAAGACAAGGTATAGTGCGAGGAAGGGCACTAGTATTTGGGGTGATTAGGGAAGGCTTCATGCAGAAAATGGTGCTTGAACTGCAAATTAAAAGAAGAGAGGGACTCTGAGGGCGGAAGTAAGAAGGGAGTGCATCCCAGCTACAGAGGGCAACCAGTGAAGAGGTAGAGGGGAAGGGGATAGGGCGCTGTGATTAAAGAACAGAGAGAAAAAGCAAATTTTACTAGATTTTAGAATGTGGGAAGAGGAAGCAATCCTCGCTGAGGTTAGAAAGATTTGTTACGGTAAGGTTTTGTAGGATTTTAAATGCTAAACAGAAAAGTTTATATACTCCATCCTAGAGAAAGAGTAAGCCATTTGGAGTTGAGAAGAAAGAGTATATGGTCAGATTTGGGTTTAAGGAAAAAAATTACTTTTCACATCTATTTTTGCATCCCTAATCCATAGCCCAATGCCTTGCACGTGGGAAATGCTTAATGTTTGTTGGCAGAACATGATTAATTTTAATGACTGAAAATTTTTGTGGGGTTTTCTCTTTTTATCCTAGATTGGGTAAATTTTCTAGTCTCTTCCTTATTGGGTCCAAGTCCGTGTTTTGGTTTCCTAGTGATGCATTCTGAGGGAATTAGGTGAAATATTATTCTCACTTACTTATGAATCACTGAATGCTCACTTATGAATTACAAGAATGCTATGTGCTGCTGCAGAGTCTACTTATTTCTGCCTTTTCAAATTTTTAATTTTGACTTTGAAAGTTAAATATGGTTTAGGTTCTATCTGTAATATTTTAGAAATTGTTTCTTTCAGACAGCATCAAGGCAATTCTGAAAAGCAAGTGAGCTCTTGGTTTCCAAAAGATTAAGCTTTTGAATATTATTAGTATTGTTGGAAGGCAGTTCCTTTAGTCACATGTTTTAAGTATATATACCTTTGGTGCATGGTACAAAATTTCCTCGTGGTATTGAGCATTTAATTTTCTTTTTTTAAAATAGGTAGTATTTTATTTTTTTCCAATTACATGTAAAGATAATTTTCAACATTCATTTTTTATAGGTTCTTAAATTCTAAATTTTTCTCCCTCCTTCCCTGTCCTCCCCCCTCTCCAAGACAGCAAGCAGTCTGATACAGGTTATACATATGCAGTTGTGCTAAATATCCACATCAGTCATATAAAAGAAGAAACAGAATAAAAGGGAACCTCCCCCCCCAAAAAACAAAGAAAATGAAAATAGTATGCTTCTATCTGTATTCAGACTCCATCAGTCTTTTCTCTGGATGTGTATAGCATTTTCCAACATGAGTCTTTTTGAATTGCCTTAGATCATTGTATTGCTGAGAAGAGCTATATCTGTCATAGTTGATCATTGTACAATGTTGCTGTTACTGAGTACAGTGATCTCCTGGTTCTGCTCACTTCACTGAGCATCAGTTCATGTAAGTCTTGGCAGTTTTTTCTGAAATCTGCCCAGCATTTCATTTTCAAATTATGTATATATACATATATATATATATATACATATATATGATATACAAAAGTTCACTTTAATTTTAATGGGAAAATATGGAATAAAGATTTTGAAAAAGCATAATAAGCACTACTAACTTCAAGTTCTGTGAATTTTCTGTATCATAGGTATAGCACTTGGTATGTTCTTGTAAGTACTCCTTCAGTGATGGGCTCATATAAAATTTAAAGTAACTAAATGCAATATTCAACATTATATGAAAACATTCCTCTTTCTTTGTGGGGAGGGGGGGAACATTTTTCTAGGTTTCCTGATGCCATGTCTGCTTTCAGGATTATATAAAAGGTATTCATGGGCAAATAGAACTGAACTTATGTCCTTTATCCTTTTCAATCAAATAGTATATTATTTCCTTTTACTTTTCCAGTCTTGGACTGTGGTAAGGAAGCCTGAGAGGGAGAGAAGTAAAAGAGAGCTTTAAATTACATGCTTAAAAGTCAGCAGCATATGGTAGCTGACTCTAAGGTACCTATTCAGATCCTTGAGAAATTCAATTCCAAATGCTTTCTTATCAGAGACTCTCTCACTCTAAATTCGGTGGATTGCCGACTATTACCAACTAAGGATGGTGTCATTTTCTACACTCATTATAATCATGGTTCAACTTGGGCTTTATTTATTTACTTCAAGTAATGAGGTTGGGGGTGGGGAAGGGAATTTTAATGGTGACTGGTGACATTAGATTTATCAGAACAGAAGTGTAGCAAGTATATCAGTTTCAATAACATAGTATTGAAAGAATTATAAGCTTGAATGCAGCCATGGAATAAAATCATCTTTAAAAAGAATCCTATTGAGAATAGTGCTATGAACTATTAGTAAAGGTCTATTTTGATAATTCAGTTAAATTCAATAAACATTTATTAAGCACTTACTGTGTGCCACGCACAGTGCTAAGTGCTGGGGGTGAAAAAAGGAGCAAAAGACAGTCCTTGCCTTCAAGGAGCTTACAATCTAACGGTGGGTGGTGGTGATTGAACAACAGGCAAACAAATATATACAAAGCAAGCTATATACGTGATAAACAGAAAATGATTAAACAGAGAGAAGGCATAGAATTAAGAGGGGTTGGGGAAGGCTTTACTGTAGAAAGTGGCATTTTAGGTTGGACTTAAAGGAAAGCTAGAGAAGGTAGTAGTTAGAGCAGAGGAGAGAGCATTCCAGAAACGGGGGATAGCTAGAGATAATGCTCACAGCCGAGAGGTGAAGAGTCTTGGTGGTGCAACGGCTAGGGAGCCAGGGTCCCTGTACTGAAGAGTATACGTTGGGGAAGTAAGGTGTAAGAGGAGTGGAAAGGTAGGAGGAGGCTAAGTTATGTAGGGCCCTTATAACAGCTTATTATATTAGTAACATTTATGTAGGCTTAGGGTTTGCAAAAGTTCTTCTACAAAACCTTAGCTCATTTGATCCTCATAAAGTGAGTACAGTTATGTCTCTTTTACAGGTGAGGAAATGGAGGTTGAGAGAAGTGACTTGCCCAGGGTCGCACAAGTGGTGCTTATTTTATTTAAAAAAAAAAAAAGTTCACACTCAGGACCTTAAATCCCAGGGAAGGACTTGCTCAGTTTTTTTTTTCCAATATGACTAACTAGACCTGTATAATTTGATTCAAGAAATCTTCAATTTCTACCAAATTACTCTCTCTAAATTGAATCTATTAGGAAGGCTTGTGCATCAGTCTTGCAGCGCCCTTCAAGCATGATTAACTTCATTAAAAACTTCGTGCTCGCCCGGCCTCGAGTCGGGGCGTTCAGTCGCCGGGGCGCTCTGGCACCCGCGATTAGACAGACAATGCTGAGCTTGCAGGCGGGCGAGCGGCCTCCCCGGCCTCTCCTCGCCCGGCCACTCTTCATTTCCAGCCCCCGAGCCCCTGCTCGGGCCGGGCTGCGGCGCCCTCGCGGGCGCTCACCCGCAGAGCACGCCGGAGCCTCAGAAATGGAGCGCCACCATTCCACCGGCATCAGACGGATACTGGAGCGGAACTCTTGGGGCCTCCGGCTGCCCTAGGCCTGGGGGGGGCGGGCAGGGAGGGGCAGAGGGCCCCCCCCCAAGCACTGGTCGTGCCCGGGGGGCCTGGTGGCCGCCCCGCCCCCGGCCATGGAGGAGCCTGGAGGCTGGAGCTCTAGCCAACCTTGGACGACCAGAGGTGGTGGAAGGCTGTTGAGACGGCCGCCTGAGGATGGGGGAGGAGGAGGAGGCGAGAAGGCTGCAGGGGCGCAGGGAGCGGCACCGTCTTGTGACAGACCGAGGGGAAAGCTCCAGCCCCTCCAACAAGCGGGAGTCCAGGCTCCAGGGGAGTCCGTAGCTTCCTCCATTTTGGTTGATGGAGGCGGGGAGGAGCGCCTTGATCTCTCACCTCCCTCTCCAGCCCCCCTTGCTTCCTCTAGCCCCTCACCTCCACATGCTCAAGGCAGAGGACGCCCCCACGGTCGAACGACCGGTCCAGGCTGGGGCTTAGCAGGGGGAAGTGGCTTTAGCCCCACTGGGTTTGGTTTTGAATTGGTCCCAAGTTCCCACAGCAGCTTCCGACAAAATGGAGGACGGCGTCTCCTCCTCCTGCAGCCATGACAAGGGGGGAGGGAAGGGGGGTATTCCCCAGGGGGGGTGGAGTGGAGAGAAGAGTGAGGCTCTCCTTCCCTCAAGAGGCTTTAAGAGTTTTACCCCATCCCTGCACTTTAGCTTGGCACCCCAATGTCAGCTCTTGTCCACTTCTTGCCCCTTCTTCGGGGGCGTGAGGGATACTGGAGCGGGGGTGGGTAAGAGGGTTTGGGGGCATCTGGGCTGTTGGTGTCTTTCCCCAGTTATTCCTGTAGGGAGAGTTTTTTAGCTGCTGCAGTTGCTGCACAAGACTGAGTGCCCAGGCCTGGGTGAAGAGAGAATGGCCCTTTAGCCCAATTCCCATTGCTACAGCTTATTCTTTCACCGCCTGTGCTCCTAGGTAGCAACCACTGGCTGGTGGTAGTGGGCAACCAAATTCACATTTGCCATAACCAGAAAGATCCAGCGAGGGGTTGGGGTGGGGAGGGAATGAGGTTGGGGGAGGGGGTTTGGGGGAGAGGGACAGGAGTGGAAGGGGGCTGTGGGTGTGGCCAAAGTTTGACGGACGACCTTTTAGACCACCCTGCGAAGGCGGGACGGTGAAAGATAATCCTGCTGGCCAATCGACGCATTCTAAACACCCCCGCCCGTGCCTCCCGGCAGCCAGTCCGCACCCGGGTAGGCGGAGCCTCGTGGGGCTCGGTTGTGCCGCCTCCTCCTCCTCCTCCTCGCCAGCGCTTAGCCCGGGACTGGACCGAGTGGAGTTGTGCGTGTTACCGAAGGGGGGGGTGGGGCGGGGGAGGGGAGGTTCGTTCCGAGGAGCCGCAGCCAGAACCGGGTGAGGATTATCCCCCACTTTCCCCAGCTCGGTCCGCTGATGGTGGGGGTGGCTGGGGGCAGCACTGCCTCCGGAGGAGGCGACTGGGGAGGCGGAGACGGGTGAGCCGCCGAAGGAGCCTCCCACCTCGGGCTTGTTACCCCGTAGTGCGGCGCAGCGGCCGCGCAGGGCCTCGGGGGCTGCCCCGGGCTCCCTCCCTCCCCTCGGGTCCGAGGCCCTTTTCGGCACAACACGGTCCGGCCCCGCGGGCCGTGAGGCGGAGCGAGGGGCAGGGCCGGGGCGCCGGCGGGGAGACGAGGCCGCGGAGGGGGCAGCCCCGCGGGCTTGGCAGTCGGGGCGTTCGGAGGCCGGGGTATTTTTCCTTTCCGTCTCTTTCTGGGGGGGAGGCGCCGATGAGGGAGCTGGAGGGGGGCGGCGGCGGTGAAGACCGGAGTGCCCCCCTCCTTGGGCGGGCTATCACCACCCATGTTTTTCCGAGTTATTGGGGGGCTACCCCTTCTGCCCCGGGAGAGTCAGCCCGGTCGTCAGCCCCCCGCCGTCCCAGGCGCTGCCCTGCGACGCTCCTGCGTCTCCCGTATTGTTTGCCTGGGTCTCTAATGGCGGACGGGGAGGCAGCGCTGCCGGCCGCCGACTGCAGGGGGGGCCAACCCCGGGCCCGGGGCAACTGCTGGGGGCAGATGGGGAGATCGCGGCCCGGCGGTGACGTGATCTGTCCAGGAGTGCGGTGCGGACGTCTGGATTCGTGGAAGAGGAGGCCAGCCGGGCCCCCTTCGGAAAGAACGTCCTCTTCCTCCTGGCGTCGAGGCTCTCGCTTCCCCCTCCCTGAGGAGAGGGCGCGGATGCGTGCCGGCCGATGTCGCCTCTCTCGACACGGTCCTGGTGCAGGGCCGGGGGGCGGCCCTCGGGGTTTCGAAGGGAAGAAATAAGGGCCGACCTCCTCCACCCGGTCCCCCGGGGCGGGGGGACGCGGGCCTGGGACGCGGCCTCATTGGGTCCACTTGATTCTCGTTCAAATCTCTTCTCTGTTTTCCTAGGACCAGGAATCCTTTCCAGCCCCATCTGGTGCAACATTGGCCGAAACTACGGAGGAGAATCCCCCATTGTGAGTCCTTTTCCTCATTATTTGTCTCCTTTAGCGGGCCTAGCCCCGGGGTGATGGGGGGAGTGTTAAACCTCTGGGATTCGCCGCCGGTCTCTGTTGTCTGGAGGAGGAGGAGCCATTGCTCGGGTGGCAGCTGCCCCCGGGGCGAAGACCCAGGACTGGCTGGGCGGGCGGCGGGGGTGGGCGCTGTGCCGCGGCCGCCGCAGACGCGGCTCCTGCGGCCGCGATCTCAGCCCGAGCTCCCCGACGACGGGCTGCAGCTGCTCACGTTACCGGGGGGAGGGGGCGCCGGGAGGGCACTTTGCTGGTGCCCCCTAGAGTCCGCGGGTGGGAGCCTGTGCCGGCCGAAGATGCGAGGCGGAGATGTCCGAGGCATCTCTCTCCGGCTTGTGGCGCAGGCGGGCCGCACCGGAGAGACGGGAAAATTGAAAACTGATCTTTTATTTGGTGTCCACTTTGCTGAAAAATGGATGTCTTATCGTCGAGTGGGTGATGAGATGCTTCGTAAAGTGTTGAGATTGGGTACCGAGATCTTTTGTTGTTTCAGTCCTAGTGCGTTTAAATGCTGAACACACTAATGACCCTTATTTGCCTTGATTTGATGTTAGATATATTTTTGTGTATTGATTCTTAGTTAAATGAGAATTAGAATTTAATGGTTGTAATTTGTCGTTGCATATGAAACTTTTTTCTTTTCCTTAAAATTAAGATTTGCAGATTATAAAGTGGTTGAGTGACAGAAGTAAATACTGTACCTCACGATAATGTATTTTGGGAACCCATGGAATTTTGTTTAATCGGGCTTTATAGGACTCTCGCTAGGGGCGCTGCATCAGTTTTTGCGGGTTATAGCATAAATACGCAGTAAACACCAAATGCTCAAGAAAAGTTGATCACATCCAATCCAAAGCCATGGAATTTCATATGTTAAAGTGTGGTATTTCTGAGAATGGAGGGATGTATAATTGCATTTAAAATGGAAAAATCTTAGGCTTGTGAAATATAGCTTCCAAACTCACCTAGCTAATAACTAACTTGATTTTCGTGTCCTTTCTTTGAAATGAAAAGGCATATAAATACTTTTTAAAATATTTTAATAATAAACTCTTCTTAGTAGGTGAACCTGTTAATACAAAAATTATAGATACAGAACCATGCTTCACACCTTGTTCCTTTTCAGCACCTTTTTTTTGGTATAACATTGAATCATAACTACTTCAAGGTGGTTAGTGTTCAGATATTTTTCCCATGTGTTTTTCATCTTGTAGTTACTTAAAAACATAGGGGAAGGGAAGGACAGATGGACATTATTTGTGATACTGAACACAAATGAAGAGCTATCTAGTAGATCTTTGAAAGAGAGATGAAAGTTCATTTTTATTTTAGTGCCTTTGCTATGATCAGCTTTATCTTATTAATGGGGGTGGCGGCATCGATATACAGAAATATTAATTATAGTAACTAACATTTAAGGCTTGCATAGTGCTGTATATAGGGTGTCTCATTTGATATTTACAAGAACTCTGAAATAGGGTTGTTGATACTCCTGTTTTACAGATGAAGAAACTGAGCTTCAGAGGTTATGTAACTTGCCCAGGACCAAATAGCTATTTTCTGAAATGAGATTTAAAACCAGGTCTTCCTGACTCCCAAGTCTCTCTGTCTTCCACTATACCACCCATCTCAGAGGTTCCTAAACTTGTTAGGACTACTGCCCCCTTTAAAAAAAAACAATTTCTCAGCTTCCATGGAAATCTACTTTCTTTAACCATTTAACAGTTTCTGTTGAAGTACATATTTAAAAAAATATTTTTTAAAAAAGATGCATCTTAAATTTAATAATTTATTGTAAATTTGTGGATTTTTTCTTTCCTTGAAATTTTGATGACACAGTATTGCTTCCTATAGCATCATACTGTAAACAAGTCATTACACGAACATATTCCTGCTTATGCATACTAAACTTCCTGACAGTGCCCCTCAGGCTGGCCTGCCAACACTTGCTTGTTAAGACCTGTCGGCAGCAACTTTGACCACTGATCAGTCACAACTTGCATTTTGTGTGTTTATTTGGAAAATAATGTAATCACTAGGACTTCAATTCTGTTACACAACAGATGAAACATGTACAAACGGTTTTTCAGAATTTTCTTCTCTTTCCTTAATGCTTCACTACCCCCTTATTTTTATTCCCCCCATTGCATCCAAGGCTACTTACCTCCCCCTGGATTGTTCCAGTGCCTCTCTGGGGGGAGGCTGTGTCACCCATTTTGAGAATCTCTGAGCCTAGCTGTTTATTTGGAATGAATAATTTTTTTATAGTAGATTTGCCTTTATGGTTTTACTTAAGTCAATATGAAATTTTTATTTCTAAAACCATTTTAAAATTTCAGGTTAATTGTTTTGAATAATCAACAAAATAACTAATTGACTTTATTATAAAATTGGAATAACTTCTAATGAATGGTTCCTCTTTTTTATATTCTTTAGAGAGAGTTGGGAAACATTCTGATTTACATAAAAGAGTGGGTATACACATGAATAACATGAAGTTAGTGAGTTTAAGCACAGTGAGCAAACAGCAGACGATGTAACTTGGACCTTGGGGTATTCCTGGTCTAGCTTGCCTTGGATTGTCCTGCCTGCTTATCCTTAAAGGAATTGTCCCTGATGGGGTTACCTGGAAGTCATTTCTATCTCATTAGATCCTCTAGCTTTCTGCAGTTTTCATTAGTTACTTTAAAGTATTCAAATTTGTATTACTTTTTTTGTTGTGTATTTTTCTTGGAGCCCCTACTAGTCAGCACCTTAAGGGCAGAGAGTCTGTCTTTTGTTGTTCCCTCAAATCATAATGAGTCACTTAATAAATGTTGAATGTTACCAGAAAGCTTGATAATTTAAACTAATATTCTAATGTAAAGCATTTCAGTTTAAACTAGAATTACTTTCTATATAATTATTGTCTTTAATTTTTACATTCTTTTATTCAGGTTGATGTGTTTTCTTATAGTCCTATGTGGGCATGGAATCCTAGGAGTTTTAAGAGCTTCAAGAAACATTTGAGAGTTAGGGTAACCCCCTCTGTTTGCAGAGAAGGAAACAGGCTCAGGTCAGTGAAATAGCACTCATGGACATTTAATTGTAGTGTTAAATTTCAGTTAATGAAAGGTACAAAAATAATCTTTGTACTGGAATAGAATGCAATAGAAAGCAAATTCTTAAGACATATGAATGGCTTGATTTTTCCAAGACTGGGTTAATTACTAATGATAGTGGAAGGTTGAAATTGTTGGGAATCTGTTTTAATGGATTGGGTTAAAGTTCCTTATATGAGTGTTTATGTCAAATATTCCTGAAAGTAATTTTAAATTATTTAAGCTGTTGGGGTGATCTGTTACATATTAACATAACACCTTATATTTATATACCGAGGTTTCTTCCACCGAAGATCTGTGAAGGTTTGCCAAAATGTTAAAGAATTTAGTTCATTCCATTTCAGATATTAACTGGAATGACTTTTCCTTTAGAGCAAGAGTTTTTAACCATTTTTGTGTCATTGATTTCTTTGACAGACCAGTGAAGTCTATAGATTCCTTATAATAGTGAGTGCAAATAAAATAAAATACATGGGGCTACAAAGGAAACTATATTGAAATGTTAGTTATCAAAATATTTTTTAAAAAAGTTAATGGCCCACAGATTAAGAACCCTTTTTTAGGAGGTCTTAATTTTGTCTTTGTTTTCTTAATTGACTCTAGGTGTAAGTTTGTGAAATTTAAAGTTGTGCTAGTTGAAAAATTCTTATGCTTGAAGTTTTTTGTGTTCCATAAAAATATGAAATTGTAAAATGAGTATTTCAAGCAAGTTCTGCAGTAGTGACCGAATGTAAATGAATGCCAATAATATAATCTTACTGGATAGGGTAGGTTGAGTTAATTTAGTTTTTCTCTTTTTAGCAGGTGGAAGAGATATTAGTATATCCACTAGTCCCAGTGGTTAATTAAGTATTCTCTAATCATATTTGGATTGGTTAGGAAAAATATTTTAAGTATTTGGGTCAGGTACCAGGTATCTTGATTAGAGACCGTGGAGCTACTGGTACAAGATAGATTTTTTTTTCTTTTCTGTGGGCCAGTTAATTTGTTAGAGAAAAGTTTGAGGAACTACAAAAGAGACTGATTTATATGTGTGGCTGAGGAAATTCTTCTCATTATTTTATATCCTCATGAGGGCTTCTCTGTCTTGGTTGTCCACTAGTTTATCTTCCTTTAAATGTATTCTATTTTGTAAGTGGTAGGTTCTCTGTTGTATTTCTCTCCTTTGATGACAAAATACATGCATTTGTGAGATGCCTGAGAAGAGTGGTAGTAGAACAGTTTTCTTTTCCTAAAAGTAAATCAGACTCTCAGAGAAGGAAGAGGCAGTTAATCTAGTCTGACCGCACATTAGCTAATGTGTGAATCCCCTTCAACATCCAAAAGTAGTTGCTTTGTTTCTAGCTTGGACATATTTAGTACTAAGGAACTCTTCCTTAAAGACTATCTATAATGTTTTCAGATATCTCTTTATCGATTAGGAAGGTCTAAAATTGAGCCCAAATCTGCTGGTCACTCCTAGAAGTAAAGGGAAATAATCAGTTTGTATTCTTTGTTAGACTACATCAGGAACATTGTGCTCAATTTGGCACCTACATTTTTTAGGAGATTGTAACCCAGAATCCTTCTGGAGGACAGTAGAAATAGGCAAGAAATTAACAGATTTGGACCTCATGGTGTGATATTGGAGGTGTTAAGGAAAAGGTTGTGTACCTAACCACTTGGTGGTGATAAAGGAAGGGATATGCATTTCAGATTGGGCCAGATGGCCTACAAGGTCATTTTAACTCTGAGAGTTTGACCTTTGTAAGGGCTGATCAGTCTTTTAACTGTGTGCTGAACTTGTGTCTTTACCCAGCCATTTCACAAATAACATTACTTTCTTCTCATTTGGAGATTGGGCAAGTGTCCATGGCTTAGTTCAACTAGTCACTATTATATAAAACAACTCAATATATTTTTTATTTTAATGTCATCTGCCCCAGAATAGCACATGTATATTGACCTAATCTCTAACTCTTTAACATTTATTATCCTTTAGCATTTTTAATAAACATTTTAACTCACTGGTACAGGGGTAGGATGTGAGATTTTTAAAATTGAGATTTCTTTAAAAATAAAATTTTATTTGTATTTTTTTTACATCGCCAAAATTTTTTGCCCTATCCTTCCTTTTCCCCTCCCAGAGAGCCAACATTCTATATAATATTTTTTTTAAAGAAAAGAAGGAAAAAAAATTGAGTTTAGAATTCCCTCCCTCCAACCTTTCCCCCACCCACTGTGAAGACAAGAAATGTGATTCAATTATACATGCAACATTCATTTTTGATTTGTGGTAGTTCTTCCTGTTTACATTGACGTGTATTACATTGACATTATGTATATTGCTTTCTTGGCTCAACTTATTTCAATTTGCATCAGTTCTTTCCATGCTTCTCTCTATTCTTCTTATTCCTCATTTCATATAATCATTAAATTCATGTACCATAAATTATGTAGCTATTCCCCAATCGGTTTCTGCTTTGCTTCCAATTCTTTGCTACCACAAAAAAGTGCTGCCTAGAAATATTTTGTTGGATGTGATGATTTTGTTCCCAATGACTTCCTTGGTGTTCAGGCTTAATAGAGGAATCTCAGTCTGTCAGTAAGCATTTATTAAGCTCCTGCTATGTCCCAGGTACTGTGCCTAAATTATGGGTATATAAAGAAAGGCAAAAGAAGACAGTCCCTGCTATCAAGAAGCTCACACAATCTGATAGGGGAGGCAACAAGCATACAGATACTTAAAAACAAGGTGTATATATATAGAATAAATAGTAAATAATCAACAGAGTGAAGATATTAGAATTAAGAGGGATTAGAAAAGATTTCCTGTAGAAAATGGGATTTTAGTTGGATCAGAGAATATAGGCACTTAAGTAACTTTTTACATAATTCCAAATTATTATCCAAAAGCTGATTTCCAGTTTCCACCAACAATGCACTAGTGTGCTGTTTTCCTATAGTTCTGTCAATAGTGATTATTTCAGTATTTTATTTCTTGGCCGATTTGCTGGGGATGAGATAAAACCTTAGCATTGTTTTGATTTGCATTTCTCTCTTGATTGATTTGGAACCTTGTCAAATCGTTTGAAATTTCTTTTGAAAACTTAAACTTCATATTCTTGGGTCATTTATCTATTGGGGAATGCTTTTTGCTATTAGGTATACCTTATCTATAATAGTGTGTCCCAGATTTTATTTAAAGCTTTATTTTAAGGTTTATTTGCATAAAACTGGACTGAGACTTATGGGACACATATCTTAGTTCTACCAAAACTGCTCTCTGAGAAATTCGCTAACGAAGAATTTTTTCATATTCTACCTACGAAATTAATGTAATTTTTCTACATGTTCTAAAGAATAATTTTAATTATATTTAGATGAGGAGGAGGTTAGTTGAAGCTAATGTCTAAAATGAAGATTTATTTTAAAATTTTGATTCTGGATACCTGTCAGTAACTGAGAGTTGGGTATATTAATATTTTATGTTTTTATTCTCAAATGGAATGTGTATCGTGTCTTGCTATTTTAAGTTATTTCAGACCAGACCTACCTATAACTTAGTTTTTACTATCTTATGATCAAATGACTTCATCTCCTTTCTTGCTGGGAGAGATTGAGGGCATCTGATATGAGTTCCTTCATCTCTAAAACTTTAAAATACACACCAAACCTCTTCCTTCAGGTTTAAAAATGAAATGATAGATTTTTGCCCCTTTGGGGATCTAATTCCATTACTTATCTCTACTCTTACATTCATTTTCATGCCTAATTTTCTGCACCTACTTGCAAACTTGTACATGGCTACCTATTTAAAAAAAAAAAACAAGTTTTCTTTTGACACTTACTCTCTACAGCTGTCATCTCATATCCCCTCTTTTAGTGATAAACTGATTTATAAACTCATAAACTGAGTAATTCATAGTTTATATTTTTTTCCTAATTATTAAATTGCTTCTCAACTACATGCATTCTGGCACTTGTCTTTTAGGAAGTGCTTTTGCTAAATCACTAGTAATCTAATAGTTAAATCCCACATCTTCTTGTTCTCATCCATAACCTTTTTTCAGCATTGTGACACTACCACTTTGAAATCCTTACCGTTCTTGCCTTCCAGAGCATGACCACCTCTCCTGAGTTTCCTTACCTTTGTGGTTTCTTGGAGAATATATTTCCCAAATGCCCTGGTCTTGGCACTTTTCTTTATCTTTTCTCCATGGGTGATATTGTCCTACTTATTTATCACTTATCCTTTAGCCTCATTTATCATCAGTGCAAATGACTGCTAAAGTGTCTTTATTCCCAACTTTGCCTCCTGGATAGTTGTGGTATGGAGTGCCCTGAATTTAGAAGACCCAAGTTCATATCTGGGCTTTACCCACTGCCTTTTTGACTTTGGGCAAGTCTTTTAACAAACTCTGTGAACCTCAGTTCTTTTTCTCTGAAATGAGAAGGTTTGGCACTGAATGTCCTTTAAATTCTCTTCTAACTCTAAATCTATGGTCCTGTAATCTATGAATATGAAATAACTAGAACATACATCTGACATTACTCCTAAAACTTAGCTGGTGGCAGCTAGGTGATGCATTAGATGGAGTGCTGGGCCTGAAGTCAGGAAGGCCTTGATTCAAATCTAGCATCAGATAACTCTGTAGTTGTGTGACCCTGGGCAGGTTACTTAACCTGTGTCTGCTTTAATTTCCTCACCTGTGAAATGGGGATAATTACAGCACCCACCTCACTTGCTGGTTGTAAGATTAGCATATTACCTGGCATATCGTTGTAGGTGCTTAAATCTAGAGTTGTCTTTGATTCTTCCTTTTCCCTTTCCCCTCTAATCAGTCATACGATCTTGTTAATCAAGTTCTCAAACATTAAACACTTAATTCTTTGCACACTGTTCTGCTAAGGGAGAAAAATTTAGATTGCCTAGGAGGCTGAACTAGGAGCAGTGAATATTTGGAAGTTGTAA